GACCTCGGAACAACTGAAATAGATGAAGGAACATTCAATGAATATTTAGAAGAGATGAGGGAGCATTATACAGCTGATAAGGTGAACTCATTGTCACTCTATTCCCAGGTTTTACTGATCTTTTGCCCAGTATCACCTCCTAGGTCAGTTTGAATAACTAAATGATCTCAAGATGCTCTTTATGGATGCTTTGACCCAGAATTCAACTGTAATTCCTTTACCAATGACTGTGCTGCTTTTCTAACGGGAGGATCTATACCTGATTTCATCAAAGGCAGGGCTTCTTCTCGGAGGCACTATCTCGACTCACTCTGATTTCTCATCTACTTCAATTCAGATCTTCCATCTGACTTTCTTTCTACTCCTTTTGGTGCCGCTCTACGACCGACAATAGACGCTATGTATAGGCGTCCTGGAGCTATGCAACCACCTCTCCCGACTAACGCTGCTCCAACCTCAATGGCAGCTCCTAATCCTGAGTTGGCGGCCTCCATCCTCCAGGCTGTTGCCGCTCAGGCTCAGCAAGGCATGCTACCTTCATCCGCCCCTCCTCTACAGGCTACAGAATCCTTGGTAGCCCCATTACATCAAATAACCAATTCTGCTTCTCTCCAGAGTTTATTACGGACGCACAAAGCCGTGGTGGTAAATTTCTCCGATATGATAACATGCCCTCCTTGCCGAGTGATTGCTCCTGTATACGAGCAACTCGCTCATGAAAAGGGTGTCAAAACCGTCAGTGGAGCGGGTGCTGCCTTCGCAAAGATAGATCTCTCTACTCCCCCCGGGAAAGCACTGGGAGCCGAATGGAGTGTTAGAGTCATGCCAACATTCATGTTCTTCTTAGATGGAAAGAAGGCATGTTTGCAGCTTTTTGCGTCGCGTGCATTGCTGATTATCCTTGTTCCTTTTAGATATCTGAGATGAAAGGTGCTGATGCCAACGAGCTTCGATCCCAAATAGACTTGCTTCTATTCCAAGCTTTCCCGCGTGCGGAAAACTCCAATTCATTCGGATTATTCGAAAAAGCTGACATGTTATTGTATAGCCCATCCTCACAATTCCCTATCGCTTCCAGCCATGCAGGCCTTGTCGCTCAACCCCATCTTATTCACTCAAGCACCCGCGCTAGACACCGCCGCGAACAAACTAATGTCCTTTGTTACTTCTACGCAGTGGCCTCCGAATGTTACTCAAAGCCAGACTGAGATAAAACAGGTCCTATTCAATACAGTATTACCGTACCTCAAATCTCGCTCAAATACACCTCCTTCGTCAGCAAGTCCCATTCTCCTGGCATCCTGGGCAAAGACCACGTCTACACTGGTACAAGCACTTCCGCTGGAATCACTCTTTCCTCTAGTAGATATGTGGCGCTTAGCATTATTGGACAGCAGTGTCGCAATATGGTGTGCTGCTCAGCAATCCACTCCTGACACCACGCCCATCCACTTATTCTTATCCAAAGTGACTTCCTCCGTAGCTAGTGCACCTCGTGCATATCTCCTAACTCTGCTGCGTCTCCTTTCAAATACCTTTTCCAGTCCAGTCCTCGCACCGCAGCTCCTTCTAGGCCAAGTCAAATTTTCAATGATGGCGTTACTGGTTTCAACTTTGTTGCACGAAGATGCCAGTGTGAGAACTGCTGCAGCAAGCTTGGTCTTCAACGCTGCGGCATTTTTACAGAAAGGAAGAGTGGATGCTGTGAAAAATGGTGGTGGAAGTGGGAAGTGTGACATTGAAGATGAGGATTGGGAAGTAGAACTGGTGAGTGCGGTGGTGGAGGCTATCGATAGGGAGAAAGTCAACGAGGATGTTGGTTAGTATGATTTGTGTCTCCTCATTTTTTCATCCGCTCATGAATTTGGTCTGCACATCGTATTGTTCATGTTACAGTACATCGTTTGACTGCTTGCCTTGGCTGCCTCCTGCGGCTTTCTCCCTTCTATCAATCCCAGATGACATCTCTCCTTGAGGTGCTTCAGGCGAAATCAACTCTCAAGGGAAAACTGGCGAAGGGAGGGTGCGGAGAGAATGGAGTCAGTAAAAAAGAAGTGAAGAAGTTATTAGAGGAAATAGCAGATAAACTTTGTCCGTGAAAGGACAGATGGAAGTATAAGTAGGCATAGAACGGCGTGCATAGGCCATTATATTTTTTAAAGATAGATTGTAACGATCATGGATCCACTAACAAAATAGTATATAGACGCGAGTCGGAGAGTTTAGATCCTGGGCTATCTTGGGGCGCTCTGCTGGGGCCTTGAACTTTGTGAATCAAAGCTATCAAACGCTTGATACAGCTGGAAAGGTATACGACGCATATACCTTCTATCGGAATCCGTTTCCTCATCGTTATCTCGCCACTCCTACGTGTAATTTCATGCAAATATCGCGTCAAAAGTTGCCACTTGATCCAAAACGATGGAGGACAAAAGCGTCATGGCAGACAACATTCCGTATGGAGAGCATTCTGCTGCTTATGATCACGACTCTACATCCTTAAACTCCTGACACTTGCTCAGCTATAGAGTAGCTTTTTTTTTGGAAAGGTATATAAACCAGAGAGATCTAGATTTTGTCAGATTTATGACAAAAATTATAATCGTGCGCGGATTGATTTAGCTAACGACATAGCATCCTCATCGTCTAGCTCTTCCCGCCCTTCAAATTCCATCTGGTGCATCTGTCTTCTAGTTAAAGGCGGTCCTTTGTTGTTTGATACTTCAGCTATGGCAGGCGATGAGGAAGCGTTATAATTCGGGGCTGGTATGATATGATAATGGACCTAGAATGTACTCAGTTGATCAAATCCGGCTCAGAAACGATTTACAAGAACTATCTCTTACATGAGGCACTGCTTGTGCATACTCTTGATTGCATACAACGTTAAGTGCGGTATTTCCTAGTGCTAGTGCATCATATACATTTCAAAACACCGTACGGAATGACACGAACTCGAACCTTGAGTAAGCGCATAAGCTACCTTGGAGACAGCTTCACCAACTGCGGCGGCGTATTCAGAAGGAAGATCCGACAGCCTAGAATAGTGTACTTTTGGTACGACGAGGGTATGCCCTTTCCTCAATGGCATTATGTCTTCTCGTACGTAGGCAGATGACAGCGAGTATTCATGAGAGCAGAATGTCAGCCTTCCTGTCCAAGTTTCCCATATATGATGTGACGAAATGACCTAGGAACGCAACCACTTTGTCGTTCTCGTATACACGGTTCGATGGGGATTCGTTATTGATTATGCGACAAAACGCGCAGTTGGAATCTTTTTTCCATGAGTGCTGCGGGCGATCAACCTGAGATTTGATGATGAAGGAAGTCATGCAAGAAAGATGTAGATAAGTACTGCGGAGACGAAGACGAAGCTCAGCAAGCTGAGTGCTCAGTTGAAGGCTACGGAGAAAGCTGACGAAAGCGATTCTGACGTCACGTGTAACTAGATTCTCTGAGTATTTCACGGAATGCGCACAAGGATGCTCAATCAGAAGGGACAGACGGTTCCGACAATGTCACATCAGGCTTGACCGTTCGGAATGATCAAGCTAAAATGATGGGTGGTGCTAAGCGATTCCGGGAAGATCAGCTTGTCGTTCAGGCTCTGCGATCTTCCCATCGAACTTGCTTTCAATATACTGTGTCTAGCGGGTTCTCAGTCACAATCCACCTATCTTTCCCTCCTGCTGACTTGCAGAGCGACGTGGAAACCTGTCCGAGACGAATGTGTACCTTTTCTTCCCATCCGTATCACTCAAAAAAAACCAGGTTTGGCCTTTCATAATGTGGATTCAGAAGAATCCGACTTTGGCGCTTCGAGTAAAGCATATATGGCTTTCGCCCAATACTTCTGCTCAGTTACCAGGCGATGCTTTATTGTCCTACATCACCTGTCGCCCGAATCTCATCTCCCTTGCCTGCGGTGCAGGGGAACTGCAATCGTGGGATGCCATGTACACTTCACATCGAGTTCCGCGTTCCTGTGTCTTTCGCCATCGGTTTTTGAAACCCTTCACCGTGATGGACGATCGCTCTTGGAGTCTCCGGCAAGGAAGTCAACTTAACTTTTGAACCAAATCAAAACGTTGCACACCATTGGGTGCAGGTCTTCGCAAGTTCATTTCCCTTGCTCTGCACCACTCCAATCGCGATATCCGAATCTGATCAAGGCTTCATTTTCTCTGCCGAACGGTGTAGCACCAAACACGGAGGCCTTTCTTTCGGGTCACTTTGTGCAATCCCCAAAAATGACGCACCAAGTCAGGGTCCAGTTCTGTTCTTCCCTTTTCGATGTTGACTTCTCTTCTTGGACCACGATGTCTGCTTCTCTACATGCAAACGCGGTGGACAGAGATGAAGATATGGAAGGAACGATTTGTGGACATGGGATCTATCCGGAAAATGCAGCGTTATGATGCGATGCAACTTCGCTCTCGATTGGTGAAATGTTATGCCTACTCATCTTTCCACCCTTCAGCTCTTCGTTCATACTACTGCCAAAATATTTACGTACCCTCTTATTGAATGAGTGCCCTGCTTTTGAAGAAGATTGTACGTCCGGCCTTGTCCAGGGCTTGCAGCAGCAATCCGACTTTTACTCAAGCACAATACTGGTTCCACGGATATACATTCTGAGTGAAACAAGAATCAGCCTCATGCCCATTAGCTGGAATGGTAATTTCTAAGCAACTTTCCAACGCAGAGATATTGTCGGAAAAGTATTTTAATGATCGGACGGAAGCAAATGTGGGATGTCAAAGCTGGTTATATCAAGCTAGTTAACTACAGGAGTTCGTTTGTGATGAATATTTTGATTCTGTCATTAGAGAAGCAAGATATTGTATGATAAGGAGCACAAAATAAGCTGCTTAATTTCAGCTAAAATCAGTCAACAAGATCCAAAAGAGTTCAAACAACTTCCACAGCAAGATTGTTGGTTTCTTTGTTCTAGATTATGTTAGCGAATTACCGGGACATTACGAGCCGTGTTTCAGGTCACTTTGCCGGAGAGGTTAACGGGATCGCCTGCTAGTTTTCGCACAGGATTTCTCAGTCAGCGGTTGGGCTTTGCCCGCGTGTGTTCGAATCGCACAGGTGACGCTTTGCTTTCACATTTTTTCCTTTTTCCCTCCTTTAGCACCCATTTGTCGCAAAACTTGAAGCAAAGTTGGGCAAAACGGGGAAGTTACATTCAAGAGCAGATGACATAGAAACATCTTGTTAACTACTCGAGCAAATTGGATGAAGAATTCTTCTTCCTCCCCTCCTCAGCGAAATATGAACTCGTCGTTGCAACTCATGTATAGTACAGGTCGATCCACCGCCACTACTATTTATCCCTCCTCCTTACACATTGAATCATACAACCAACATCTCTCCATTTAGAACCTCGTATGCCATCCAACTCTAGCCCCAACATACTCAAGTACTCATAAACCCAATACTCAACGTAATTAAGGGTTTCAAAGCGATCCTGTTAATCACTCAGGCAAAGTAACAGCAAAATGACTGTCAATTTGGGTCACTGGATTAGTTGTTGGTACATAACTGCACCAATCCTCTTCTATGCCTTTTTTGCCTTCGCGCCAATATGACCCGCTCATATTTCGCAATACTAGTCTTAAACATCTCGATACCATGACCCTCAAGAGGATTCGTTGGTAGGTTATACCTTCCCCTCGAGTTGATGGAGTAGGGCGTAATGAAATGCTCGTGCAGGTGGTCAACGAGTTCGAGGACGTTACGTTCCATGGTTCCCGAGATAGTGATTTAGTCAATCAAGCTAGAGGAATTATAGAGGAGTGAGAATCAGCGAGCCAATTTTTTGCATGAGTATATGGTGAATGTCTACTGACCTCAGGTGAATAACATACTCGTACAGACCAACACCTTCTGCATGAGGACAGACAGGAACGCCGAATATGTTAAATAGCCAAACATAGTCCATAGGTCGAGAGGAGCAACAGAATGTAACTCACTTAGCAGACATCAACAACACACTGATGACCTCACTCACGCCCGCCAACCTACATGAATCGATTTGGCATACATCGATAGCTTCGGCCTGTAACAACTGTTTGAAAACATCCTGTTGTGCGCATGTTCACCTGTAGCGACACCAATTCCGTGTGGTTTCATAGCTTTTCGGATAACTGCATGACCAGGGATTCCTTGAGCTTTTTGTGAGTCAAGCTTGCCGCTGTTTTTCCACCTGAGCAAGACATGCATAGGGAACTGTTCGTGTGTGTTTCTTTCCTCAGTAGTAGAATGAATCTCTATCGGTTCCCTGGGGTGGTAAGAATTCAGGAAGGCTCAGACACATTATGGAGGTGGCGACGGTGAAGAGCCAAGGCTTTTGTATCTGATCAGGAAAGGGAATCTGATTAGAATTTAAAAAATGATTACGACCTACGAAGGTGGGTGAAGACCTGTGAAGACCAGCATTGTCGAAGCAAGAGTCAGGTCGCATGTGAGAGTACTAGCTAGGTATACTTTGTCCGTGACTTGAATAGTGGAGTCGAGGGCGCAATTTTGGCGGGATGGCGACGGACGTTGAGAACTGTTGATGAAGAGCTCTATCGATTCACCTGTGGATAATGGAGATCATTGGCAAGGACTCACATAAGATAACTCAACATGATACTCTCTAGTATCCTGTACTATACAATTCAGAAGCTTCGAAGGTCTATATGCTTCTAGTAATTGCGCAGCGCCTAGCCTCTTTACACTCGGCCGACAAAAACTCCTGAAAGAGAAATCAACGGGAATCGAAGAGGATTTCTTTGGTGTTTCAGTTCTGCCCAGGTTCTGCCGATGTCTTCCGAGGAGCCCGGAGCTTGGCCGGATAACTTCGGAAGCGATTTCTCATAAGCTGCACCAGTGACTGTCCAACGAGCTCCACGACCTAGTCTCTTCAAAACGACCGACCAAGAAGCAACGCCAGGACCCCGCGCATCTGCGGGGCGAAGATATGCAGTCTGGCAAGACCAAATGGACTGCAAACAGCATGATCGGTGAGTAACTCGTTCGTGTGCTCTCATTAACATTTTTTTTCTTATCACACAAGTTCTATCCAGCTGGCGCGGGCGGGGGCTTTGTTGCAAGTGTAGCGACTTGTCCTCTTGATGTTGTCAAGACGAAACTTCAGGCTCAGAGGTTCGTCCAAGGTCAGGTTGGTTATGAGGGTATCGCCGGTGAGTCGCACTTCTTTTGTGTTGAGCTTTGACGTTCTTTGTTCATTAAGCTTTGAAGGAACAATCAAAACAATCGCAAAGTATGATGGGTTGAGAGGTTTCTATCGTGGTCTGGGACCAACAATCCTAGGATATCTTCCAACTTGGGCCATATATTTCGCCGTCTATGATGGTATTAAGTCTGCTTTCGGTGAAGCACCTCTAGGTGTGAACTCCAAATCTAAGAATTGGATATACCCTGCCGCTCAGGTCAAGGGCTATCAACCTGCCATGCGCGAACATCCTTGGTCACTACATATCCTCTCAGCAATGACAGCCGGAGCATGCAGTACTATATGTACAAATCCGCTTTGGGTCATCAAAACACGGTTTATGGTGCGTCGGCTTTCATTTGTTCGATTCTTATCTCATATTCGATCTACAGACGCAATCCCGGGACGAAGTGCGCTACCGACATACTCTCGATGCCGCACTCACTATATATCGCAGCGAAGGCATTCGCGCCTTCTACCGAGGACTCTTGCCAAGTCTCCTAGGCATCGCTCATGTTGCAGTACAATTTCCACTTTACGAGCAACTTAAGATCTGGGCACGTACGTTTTGTTTCCTCGCAATCTTTTGCATACTGTCCTGAATTTGGTCTCAAAAGAAGGTGACTCTGAGGAACCTCTGACCAGCCGCACCATTCTTCTTTGCTCTGCTTTCGCCAAGATGACTGCTTCAGTCACTACCTACCCTCATGAAGTCATACGAACACGTTTACAGACGCAACGTCGTCCTCTCGCGGACGACTTATCATCAGACGGAATGATAAGACGTCATACTGGGCGAGGAGTAATACACACCACAAAGAAGCTTATTCGTAAGGAGGGCTGGACGAGTCTGTATAAAGGATTATCCATCAATCTCTTACGAACTGTACCAAACAGCGCAGTCACCATGTTAACGTGCGTCGTTCCTTTTACCTTAGTATTCGCACTCCTGACGCTAGCCTGTAGGTATGAGTTGTTGATGAGACACCTCTCTTCACGGACGCCTTGACTGTTCTGCCTATTTGTTTGAATATCACCTTCCTTACTTTTCAGAGTACATCTATTAGAACCGTGCAATTTTCCACGCTTTGTAATATTTACAGTTTCAGATTTTCTTTGTATCTTTTTGACTCTCCTTACTCTATGCTCTGACTTTTTACACAATGCATGCTTGTAACACATGAAGTCTAACTCTGGATTGTAAGCCGACCTCGGTGCTCCTGTGGTCAAATGATTGTCGGAGAAAGGTTGAAGTGTCTTCGTGGATCCTTACGAACTCGCTTATCAAGATTCGGAAGAGATCCGCTCCCCAGAAACTCGAGACTTACATTACAACATGAAATATATTCATAGCTTCGAGATCGTTCTTCTGTTTGGAGCAATGCTATTCTCCGCCGCAAACGCAGTCCACCATCGCAAAACATATTCTTTTTCTCTATCACCAACCATCTGTGATAACTCCCGAAACAATGCCTGTATCAGCTCCGTTCGGTTTTGATCTTGCATCGTCGAGGCTGCCATATCTTCCGAGTCTTGACTTTCTCTGTCGACCCGCAAAACACCGTCGATTTCTTCAAAAAATCGACCGAGAAGGGATAACGGGAGGGCTGAGACGCATGCAATGAGGGTGATGTGGAGACGATGTTTCTGCTCGAGGTCAGGGATGTCGTTTCCAAGGTTTTGTATGGCACTGAGTAATTCTGAGATACAGTACCAAGCGAGAGTGTATTGAGATATTTCATCGCTTTCGTATCTTGTAGTTGTAGGGGAAACAGAACTACAGGCCGATCGAACGAGCGCCGCATACGCGATACGCAATTGCGATGTAGAGAGTTTGCCTTCAGCTGAATTCTAAAGTGAGGTATCAAGACACTGCATTAAGTATTACTTGAAAAAAGCTGACCTGAATCAAGCATCTTGAGTAAAACGGTACTAGCCGGGTACAGAAATCTGACAATGATAGATCTTCCTCCTCCCGAGCTTTGCCTTTCCCATCATTCGATCCCGAAACTCCTGGCCCCATTAGATCAGCGTTTGTCGCATTCGCTGCGAGTATAGCCAAGATCACCGAATGTGCCGACTCGAACGTTTCCCGTATCAATGGATCCATGAGTTGCTGTGTCGTATCCGAATTCGGACTGGAAGAGGATACTTCATACGTTCCGGGTGGGGAATGACGCAGGTAGAGGTTTGGCTCTAGGAGGTTCCATACAGGTCCTTTGAGATACTTGACGTTAAGTACGGGCACAAGTTGTTCGATACATGATAAAGCAAAAGAAGTCTTCGCTAAATCAATGATCTGTTGAACCGGAGACTTCAATCCCGTTTCCATCACGGTCTGTGGATGCCCCGACTCTTGGGACTCAGATGACAGAGGGTATACTGATACACGATGCGCCATCAGCTCGTCTACGAACCGCTCTGATACATCTTCAGGCCCACTAGCGAGTATATCTAAAGCCAAATAAGCGGCCTTGCGCATCTCCTTGAACGATGCTTCCTCTCTGCTCCCCGTCGATGATATACCGCCGAATTGCGAGACGACAAAAGATAGACGGAAGAGGGTGAGGAGAGTGGTCAGTGAGAGAGAAGCAGGAGATGATAAAGACGACGTGGGTGAGAGACGGTAGATAGTAGGTGGAATATAGAGGCATGTGGAGAGGACGGTGTCAGATATCATGATGATGGAGAACAGCAGGGTCTTGAGCGTAATCCAGGGTCCAGAAGACGAGTTTACTGCCATCGTGGCTGAGGGAGTGTGTACCGACAATAATTGCGGTATGACTCCCACAACATGGACTGCTATTTTCTGCAAACGATTCAAAGTCTCTTGGGATGAAGACAGCCCTTCTCGAGGACGAGAACTTAGTGAGCG